TCCCCTTTACCTAACCATGACTCAAACTGGTCTCTTGGTGATAATATCCACAGAGAGGTAAAAAATCCCACCCCGGTTTGCTCCATCTTTGGTTTTTTAATGCCTTCTCAAAAGTTGTTATCAAAAGTTGCTAGTCGGCAATAACCAGAAAAGCCACCCTGTTAAAAAATGGGCAAATGACTTGAATAGACACGTCTCCAAAGAAGATACACAAATAGCCCATAAGCACACGAAAAGATGCTCAACATCACTCCTCATTAGGGGAACACAAATCAAAGTACAACACACCATACCCATTCGATGGCTGTTATCAAAAAGAGAAAAAAAATACCAGTTGGCAGGGATGTGGAGAAATTGGGACCCTTGTGTACCGTGTGTGGGGGTGTAAAATGGCGCAGCTGCTGTGGAAAACAGTATGGTGGTTCCTTCGAAAGTTAAACACAGAATTACAGTGTGATCCAGAAATTTCACTTCTGAGCACATGCCCAGAGTTCCTGAAAGTGGAGTCTTAAGTAGCTTGTACACCTGTGCTCATAGCATCGTTACGCACAGTGGCCAAAAAATGGAGTGTTCGTCAACAGATGAATGGATAAACAAAGTGTGGTCCATACATATGTTGAGATACTATTCGGCCTTAAAAAGGAAGGGAATCCTGCAACATACTGCACCATGGATGAACCTTGAGGGCATTATGCTAAGCGAGATAAGCCAGTCCCAAAAAAACAGTAAGTTCTGTATGCTTTCACTTGTGTGAGGGACCTAGCGTCGACGGAAAGTACAAGGGTGATTGTCGAGGGCTGGGATTGAGAGAATGGGGAGTTGTTGTTTCTTGGGTACCGAGTTTCAATTCGGGAGGATGGAAAAAGTTCTGGAAGTAGACGGTGGTGATGGTTGCACAACCGAGTGAATGTACTTAGTACCACGGAGCCGTGCACTAAAAATGGTTCAGATGGCAAGTTGTGTGTTATGTATATTTTACCACAATTAAAATAGTTTGAGAATTTGGCAAGATCAATACCTAAGGGCCAGGTTCTTCCCATTGTGTCCCTCAATTCTCACCGACCCAACTCCTGGACGGCGAGCTTCCTTTGCTTGTGGCCCGCTTTTCTCTGTCAGCAAACAGGATATCTTCCTCCAGGTCTCCATCTCCCTGCCCCATTATTCTTAAAAATGCCAAGTGGACTCCAGGTGCTACCATGGCACCTTTCTGGAACCGCCTGGGCCAGGCTGGACGGTCCTCTTTCTTTCCAGAGCCATCTTCCGCACAGCTCAGCATCCTTGCCTATTACAATAGGCCCGGGCACCAGAACGCTGCTGTTCTGTCTGTGAAATCTCAGGGATTTGGATCTGAGTACTGGGCGGGTTTTACTCAGACTGTGTGGGGCAGGGTCAGGGGACCAGGAACAGCAGGTATGGTTTGGTAAAGGTGCTGGTCATGATGACACTTGTTAGCAGTTAAGAGGCTGCTTCCTCTTCATATGTGTTATAGACATTATGTTCACTTTGCATCCCAGACTTTGAGTATCAGAACCGCATTCCAGGGTAGGAAGTTTGGATTCTTCCCCTCCTGATAGTTGACTAAGAAAATACATAATGACAAAACTACTGAATGTGGTGGTGCTTTGTTTTATTTATTTATGTTTATTTTATTTATTTTTTATTTAAATTTTAGTTAGCCTACAGCATGATACTGGTTTCAGGAGTAGAATTCAGTGACTCATCACTTATATGCAGCACCCAGTACTCATCCCAACAAGTGCCTTCCTTAATACCCATCACCCATCTAGCCCATCCCTCACCCATCTCCCTCTGTCAACCCTCAGTGAAGAGTCTCTTGTGATTTATTTCCCTCTCTCCTCCTTTTTTCCTCTTCCTGTATATTCATGTTTTGTTTCTTAAATTCCACATGTATTTGTCTTTCTCCGATTGACTTATTTTGCTCAGTATAATACATTCTAGCTCCATCCACATCGTTGCAAATGACAAGATCTCATCCTTTTTGATGGCTGAGTAATATTCCATTGCATAGATATACCCCATCCTCTTTACCCAGTCATCAGTCAATGGACATTTGGGCTCTCTCCATAGTTTGGCTGTTGTTGATAGTGCTGCTGTAAACATGAGGATGCCTGAGTCCCTTTGAAGTTGTATTTTTCTACCCTTTGGATAAATACCTAGTAGTACAATTGCTAGGTCGTAGGGTAGTTCTGTTTTTTTGAGGAACCTCCATACTGTTCTCCAGAGTGGCTGCACCAGTTTGCATTCGGTGGTGCTTTAACTACATTTTTATCTTATCCACCCCAACCTGTGTTTGCACCTGTAGTGGGAGACATGCCTTTATTTAGTCTTCCTGTCAAATGCCGTGCATGCCTGCGATCCAGCTCCCTGGGCCTCATCTGAGAAGTTTCTCCCCAAAGTGATTCTGGGTGTACTGAGTGGGAGCCATCTTAATCTACTGCTAATTTGTTGCAGCAGTTATGCAAGTAGAATGACCCCCATTTTATACATTAGGACATTGGAATAGAGATTAGTGACTTGCCCAAGGTCACCAGCTGAAAGCATGGGGCTGGCCCGTGGCTCCCAGGACCTGGCCAGAACTTCTCCTTCTGTGCACAGAATGTGTAACAGATGCATCGGGACCCCAACACAGTGAGGACTTGGCCTTCATCTCACTCTGTGGCGGCCCACTTGATCTTACCATCTACAAGCCATAATCGGTGTTAGCAAAGGAAGCCTTCTCTCCCCTCAGTGACAACTCTAGGCTCATCTAACGAGCACGGTGACAAGTTAGTGAGCCTTGAGTTCTCCCTGGAGGAGAATGTGGAGGGAGGGCAGCTCCCTCGCTCTCGGAGACATCCGAGCACTTAACTAAACAAGCGCAGGAACATCACGCTGAGTCAGTGCTGAAAATGAAAAGGCCTTGGGAAGTTGGATTCCTGACTTTGGGAAACACGTGTGTGCCCTCCTGGGAGTGCCTGCCAGTCGCTGTTACTCGGGCCTGGGGCCGCACCATTGAGCAGCTGCACACCCTGGGCCCCGTGGCTGGGGGAGCCCCAGGCCGGTGTCCGGGAGCTGTCCCCCTGAGAGCGGGCCACAACTGTCACCCTCCTGCGACGGCACTGATTAGATTTGCCTCGTGCTTCTGTCCGCTTTGCCACAGCCAGTGTGGGAGGGAGAATTCCGGAGAGACGCTCCCCACGGCCAGGGGCAGGCAGCCCCTGGCACATAGGCGTCCTCTGACTGAGGTCAGATAGCCAGGCAATGGCGCGGGTGCTCAAGAACCCAGCTCTGCTGTCTTCTAGACCGTGGCATTTTGAGGGGAGCCCTGAGCCGTCTAGGCAAACAGCATTTATGTGGCTGGCAGTCTCTGGCCACCTCTACTCACTGGAGGTTTTCTAAGCCACAACCCTAAACAGACAGCCCTTGTCCCCGAGGCTCTGTTAGTGTTCTGAAGCAAATGCAACAGGGAGGCACTCCCGGAAGAGCCGCAGCTATCTTGCACTAATTAAGTGGCTTAAAGCTATAAAGCAGGAAGCAAATGAAGAGCCCATAAACCTTGAAACCTCGGGGCCAGCAGACACAAATGGATGTGCGTGCTGACTTCTCGGAGGCCGCTAGTCTCGCCCTCTTTCCGGCCTCCTCCTTTATGCCCTCCTTTGAAAGGACCCCTGCCTTACTACGTAGCTCCCCTTGTCATCCCAGCAAGTAGAACATTATCCTTTGTGTGTGTGTTATTTTGTGTGTCTCATCATTGTTTTTAGTGGGAAACAAAATCTAACTGCCAAACACACACACAGAATTTCCATCTTAACCATGTTAGGGTATCTGGTTCGGTGGCATGGAGTACGTTCACACCGTTGTGTAGTCGTCTCCCCCATCCATCCGCAGAGTTTTTTCATCTTCCTGAACTGAAGCTCTGTCCCCTTCAAACACTAACTCCCCGTTCTACCCCTCCCCCGCCCCCGATGCCCGCCCCACCCCCCCCCCCCCCACCAGCCCCTGGCAACCACTGTTCTCCTTTGTCTCTGACTTTGATCACTCTGGGTCCCTCCTAGAAGTGGAATTGTACAGTTATTCGTGCTTTTGTGTCTGGCCTATTTTTTATTTACGTTTACTTAATTTTTGAGAGAGAGGCACACACACAGAGCACGAGTGGGGGAGGGGCAGAGAGAGAAGGAGACACAGAATCGGAAGCAGGCTCCAGGCTCCGAGCTGGCAGCGCAGAGCCCGACACGGGGTTCGAACTCACAAACCGCGAGATCGTGACCTGAGCCAAAGTGTGTCTGGCTTATTTCATTTAGCGTCATGTCGTCAGGGCTCATCTATGAAGGGATTCCCTTCCCTTTTCAAGATTGAGTGATATTTTGTTGTATGCGTGGACCACATCTTGTTTATCCATTCACTCGTCAGTGCACATCGGGTTGTTTTCATCATTGGGCCATGTGAATAACGCCGCTGTGAACACGGGTGAACAGCCGTCTCCTCGAGACCCCGGTTTCAGTTCTTCGGACTATAAACCGGAGGTGGGGTTGCTGGATCCTACGGTAGTTCTTTTCCGCAGCAACTGCCCCGTTTTCCATTCCCACCAGCAGTGCACGAGGGTTCCAGTTTCTCCACATCCTTGTCAACACTGTTAGGCTCAGATGTTTCTCAGAGTAGCCGTCCCAACGGGTATGAGATGAGGCTCGCCTTTCTGAAGTCAAGTGTCCAGGACGTGTGATGGGATTCTAAAGAGAGTACACACCGCGGCTGAAATAGACAAGTCCCTGATGTCGGTGCTCACAGGTGCACTCTTGAGCCCACACCAGCGCGCACACACACCCACCGCGACCCTCCTGTCTGTGCCCAAGGGCGTAGCTCCAGGTGTCTCTTGGGTTCCCAGGTGGCTAGTAACGGTGCCTTGCCCGGCCCCACGGGTGAGCCTCACTTGAAGGAAGCGTGTGTGCGCTGCTCTGTCGTGAAGACAAACGTCTCTCCGTGTGTTTGTTTCTTGGCTCCAGAACCACGACCACGCCTGCATAGCCTGCCGCATCATCCACCGGTCAGATGAGCACCGCCCGCCGCTCCTGCCCCCCCAGGCTGACCTGACTGTCGGGCTGCACGGCGAGTGGGTGAGCCAGCGCTGCGAGGTGCGGCCCGAGGTCCTCTTCCTCACGCGCCACTTCATCTTCCACGACAACAATAACACCTGGGAAGGGCATTACTACCACTACTCCGACCCCGTCTGCAAGCACCCCACCTTCACCATCTACGCCAAGGGCCGCTACAGCCGGGGCGTGCACTCCTCCAGGGTCATGGGAGGAACTGAGTTTGTGTTCAAAGGTAGGGCTCCCGCCTCGACTCCCAAGGGAGCAGCCCCACGGGTGAGAAAGTGGGCAGTTTGGGGACATTTTTGTCCAGGCAGAGCCTGGGGGAAAGGGCTTTTCTTCTGGTAGAGATGTAGGGGGAGAGATTAGGGAGGACTTTCTGCTTCAAGTTCATCATTCGCCACAGCCTCTGAGGTCCTCTCTGCTCAGAATGGGGCCAACAGGGGCGGCTCAGCCCATGGGCCACAGTGCTGGAGCCGCCCACCCCGCTGTGCACGGTGTCAGATGTGGTCAAGGAGCATGTTCTCCTAGTAATGAAGCCTCAAGTCTGCATGTTTCCTTTCTTGTGCACAGCTCATGGCGACTCTGAGCTGCCCCTGTGATAACATCACACTTACTTGCTGCATTCAGTGTGCTTTGTTGAGTGGGCAGTAAAGAGCAGGTGTTAGTCACACCGCAGGTGCTCCCACAGTTGTCCTTTCCAGCGCTGAGTTTGTCACGCGCTTAAGAGTCGTCATGTGCTTGGGGGGGAGGAGGTTTGAGATTTGCGATGATTACCTAAGCGAGGAAGGTAAGGTGAGGGGTGAAATTCACCAGGCTGTTATCAGCAAGGGAGGCCTTGTGGCCTCTATTTCTAGCATCTTTTAAGCTTGTACACCTTTTTAAGACGGAGTCAGTCATGTCATTGACAAATAAAAGAGAGGTGGCCCAGAAACTGGATGTGACCCCTTCTAGGATGGCATTCCGTGGTTCAGTCTTTTTAATGTGAAGTATTTCTGCTGACCCAGATAAGTGCCAGGGCATCTTAACCCTCCGCTTAGAGAGAAAGAGTTTCTCCAGGAAATATGGACCTTTGCTAGATTTGGCCAAGAGAACAACCATCTCTGTCTGATTCCACCCTGAAGCTGCCTTGGGATACATAAAATATAATCCCCTGGGGTCTTTCAAAAACAGCCCTCTCCAATAACTGGGATTTTTTATTTAATGCGTTTACTCACATTTTCCTTGCTCGCAGCCTAATTTATTTTAGTCGCCTGATCTATGGGCCGGCATTAATTTCCAAGACTGCTAATTAGTATAGGTGTGTGACATGACAGCAAAACTAAAAACCTCCAAACCTTTCATAAAAATAAAATTCCAGTTTGCGTCGAATATTTGGTCAATCCCGAAGAGTCAGTGTTCCCAAAGACCACTCCTTGGAGACCCTCTGTGTGACAGTTTGATTTCACCCTAACAGGCAGTCAACCACAGTCTGGGCTCCGCGTTTATACACCAAATACAGTCTACCTGCATTGTATTCAATGTGATGGCCATTCGGACCAACACGTTGAACTCTTTCCACTGGGGAATGCTTTTAGGGAGGCCGCGACAGGTGGGTGGCTGCGCAGGGTCGGGTTTAGAGCAGGTGGCCTGTGCAGGCAGAGTGCTTTCTTCACCGCACGCCACCCCCTTAGAGTCACCACCCTGTCGTCTCTCCTTCTCAGTGAACCACATGAAGGTCACCCCCATGGATGCGGCCACAGCCTCGCTCCTCAACGTCTTCAATGGGAACGAGTGTGGGGCCGAGGGCTCCTGGCAGGTGGGCGTCCAGCAGGACGTGACCCACACCAACGGCTGTGTGGCGCTGGGGATCAAGCTACCTCACACCGAATACGAGATCTTCAAAATGGAGCAGGATGCCCGCGGCCGCTATCTGCTGTTCAACGGCCAGAGGCCCAGCGACGGGTCCAGTCCGGACAGGCCTGAGAAGAGAGCCACCTCCTATCAGATGCCCTTAGTCCAGTGTGCGTCTTCTGCGCCCAGAGCCGAGGACTTCTCCGAGGACCACCGGGGTCACCAGTATGGGAGCCGGGCGCCAGGGAGGAGCGCTCGTCCCCTGCTCCTGGCCACGCTTGCTGGCCTTTTGACTCTCCTGCAGTGGCACGTCCTCAGATAGAAGTTGTTAAAAAGCTATATGTTTTTCCACACCAGGATTCCTTACAACTTACAGGTTTTCTTTACAAAAAGGAAGGACACTTCTTGTGATGCACTTGAATGGCCGAGAACTGTGGCTCCTTTTCTGCTGTCCGGCCCCCTCCCTCCCGGCCTGAGTCCTGAGCAGCGCTGTTTGAAGTTCCTGCTTTGAACTCTGTCCATGGGATCCCAGGCCTGGGTGCCTTCTCAAGAGTAATTGCACTTTAAGACCGCAGAGAGTGTCGAGCTAGTGTGTGTGGTAGAGGGGGCAGGGTGACAGCTAAGTCCTCTTCTTTTCTTCCCTGTAATTATTATGAAATTTCCGAGTTAAACTTAAATGGATATCAGGCTATGGCGTTTTTTGCCACTATACCGCAGTCGCTTCCTGTCCTCCCTCAAAACTGCTTTACGACCTGGGAATCCAGTGTGGAGTTGGTTTGGAACTGCAATCAAGACACCTTTCATTAATAAAGAAGAGACTTGGGTGTAGATATGTACATAGGGAAAGACACAGGGTTTAGCTTAACCACCTCGACAGCCTTTATGCAAAAAGAGGGAATCCAAGCTTTCAGATGTTGAGTGCAAAAGTATCTGTAATTAAAGTTTCAACATAACTTAAAGTATCATTGTTTTAACTGGTGGGGAAAGGAGACTCGGTTTCTGGGTGGCTGCAGGACGCACACTGCTTTATTCCTGCTCCGTTGACGAGGGCGGTTGAGCAAATCTCAAAAGCAGTACACACAGGAACAGTGACCTCCGGGATGGTCACAGTGTGTTAAATGCCACCTTACTGATAGAAAGTGCCTGTTCCTTCCACAGTTGCCTCTTCGTGGGACCGTCGTCCTGGCTCCTGGTGGTTCTGGTGAGGGGCGACCAGACGTCTTCACTCTGCCATCTCTGCTAACTTCAAAGATGACTGTTCAGAGACCACGCTTTGCTGTTAAGGGGCCTGGCCGTTCAGAGAGTGCAGGGAAGGCACCCTCACGGGGGCGCTGCACTAGACCCTCAACTCGTGTGAAACCCAGGCTCTGGGTAAAGCCGCTTTCTCATCGGACATGCCAGCTTGACTCGATTTCTGTCCTGCTGTTGCCTTGGCCGTGTGGCAGAGAGTCTCAGGATCACCTTCTACAGAATCTGTGAGTGTCTTCCTCACAGGCACTGGGAGGGCGCCTGAGTCACGTCTGCCCATTACTTTGGATTATTACAAACGGTGCTGTCTGCACACCAAGTGCTATTGCTAATAGAGACTGATGGAGGGAAATAGCAAGTCACTGAAAGCCTGGATGCAACCGGAAGTGAGCATCAAACCATGATCAAGGTCAAGAGTCATACTCGTATTTAAAAATTAACTTTATGAAATGCTGTAGCATTCAGGATGGTGATAAGTTAAATGGATAGCATGGAGCACCAAAGTGCTTTATCTTTAGAATATATTTTAAGTTGTGGTGCATACTGAGGGGGTTTATTCAAATGAAAATACTAACTTAAATGTCTGCCAAGTTTCATAAACAAAGATGTCAACGATACTCCCACAGAATACATTTTGCCTGTGGATCTATTTAATACTAATGCTATCTTTAAAGGATATAATAAAATTATGTGGAAAACTATGTTCACCGCTAAAGAATACCTCAGTGATTTGCCATAAAAGTGATAGATTTATTGCCATTTAATTCACAGCCACTCACCTAGACTTAGCTGCTCACACTCTTAAAAAGTACACACACACACACACACGCACACACTTATATCCAAATACATAGGTATTAACATGCGTATAATGTATGTGTATGTATATGTGTCTTAGGGACAAGGTGGCATTCATGTGGTCATATCACTTTCTGATACTCTATACAGAGAATGGCCAGTATAATTTATTCACAAGTTATCAACCCAGTTAGGTGTATGCCTGTCACTTGCTGTATCCCCCACATTTATCACATCTTGTCTTGGTTATGACATGCTAACACACATAAGGGTTAGGAAGTTAGTAGCAGGCAGGTCCACGTGTAAATTCTAGGTTTGGTGAAAGAAGTAAGTAAATAAAGGACGGCTCTTCCAGACTTCCCTGGCCTGCTACAACTAGACTTGCTCCCTTCCTGGGTAGTAGCTGATGATGGTCAGGATCAGGAAGTTGTTCCTTGGGCGAGCATTGTAAACTCCAAGTTGACCTTGGACTCAGAAGCCTCCTGGAGCCTCCAGTCCCCGACCTGTGCGGACATGACAGATCTGGTCATCTGCTGAGAGTAGTAGCTGACACCGGGCCCAGTGTCTGTGATGTCCATCCCGCCATCCTGAACAGTCCGCGATGATGCCACAGTGCCGTGGCAGCCCACGGGGGTGACTCTCAGCAGTGCCCAGCACCAAGGATGCCTGCAAGAGAGGCTGGGGGTCAGGGCATCCTCCATGGGGCTTTACACACACCTTGTAAACATGACTGGATTAATGGAAGTCCTGTGATTCCTGGTTGAAGGGACGGCTTTCACAATCATAAAAAAGCCATTCTGTATTCCACCAACTCTTTAAATATACCTTGAAAACAAAGATGGTGTTCAAAACAGTCCACACACACGTTGCCATGTTTTATTGTAACGTGGTAATCCCCCCTCCCCCGTCCCTACAAGACTTACTAGGCACGTGGCAATGGAGTGCAGAAACCGACAGATGGCACGTCACTGGGCATTTCGGGATGCTGTCCTCGAAGGAAAATGCAGACCATCCCAAAGTGGTGATATTGGAGCAAGGATGTGGGGTGGAAATACAAGCGAGAGTGGGTCCACTCTCACACACAGACTTTCTCTGCCCGGCACAGAACTTTCCGGCCATTTCGAGACATTGAAGCTTTCATGAATCCAAACATCTTTCGTAAGGATACCTCTGCGTCAAGAATAAATAAAGGTAGCTGGGGCAGATGTTTCTCACTGATTTCTGGATTCATGAGAAAATGTGTAAGCACTCTTTCCTGAATCACGTGTCCTAAAGTACTAATTCTTTAAATCCCTGTGATGGTCCAAGAGTGTTTCCGGCTTGCAGGGTAAACAGTCTCTGAAGGTACGTGGGACTCCTATTTTATGATTGCCCCATTTCCCCGGTGTTCCGGCAGGCAGAAGTAAGTGACACTATCATGAGAAAAAAATACTGGGGGGGGGGGGGGGGTTATGACCTCCAGCTTCTCCATTGACTGAGACGTGATGACGTTATGTCACATCGCTCACGTGACATAACCACACTACTCCAGGGGAGACCCGACACCAAGTTGTGCTCCACAAAGGGTGCCACACTGAGCAAGAGCACACAGCTCTTTTACTCCAATGCACGGCACACTGGGCAGCAGGTTGCAGGATCCCACCGGTGGGCACCCCCATGGTTTCCGTGGATTCCTTTTGGTCTCTTGGTGTCTCACATCTGCCACACAGTCACCTCTGAGAGCCCTACGCCCTCTGGAACACCACCTGAGAAATTCCACACCCCCTTCACTTAATCAATCTTGTGTAGCTCTTACCTTAGAATTTAGAGGTTAGAGGGTTTGCGGGCACAGAGAGCAACACTTTGCAGCCCCAGGCCTCCACGCCACCGCGGCAACCGGTGGGTAAATCTTCATCCTCCTGAGCTGGAGGGGCTCCTGGCAGCTTGGTCAGCCGCTCAGGGACTGCTCCGGCCTTCTTATTCCTCCTGAAGTGTCTCCCTCTCAAGCGATATGAAAGGCTGGGAAAGATCCTCAGAAGGCTGGGAATTGTATTTCCTGAGGACTTTAGGCACTTGAGGCTCGGGCTTTTTCTGCAGCAGATACGGCAACATAGGTAGGACAATTGAGAGGACGTATGTAACCTTCAGAAGATCAAGGTTATAACAAACAGGTGAGGGACACTGTGTATTAAGAAAGCTCATTTATGGGGCGCCTGGGTGGCTCCATCGGTTCAGTGTCTGATTCTCGACTTGGGCTCAGGTTATGATCTCACAGTCAGTGGGATCAAGCCCCGTGTCAGGCTCTGCACTGACAGCTCAGAGCCTGCTTGGGATTCTCTCTCTCTCCCTCTCTCTCTGCTCCTCCCCCATTCTCGTGCACGTGCTCCCTCTCTGTCAAAATGGATGAATAAACATTTCACAAATTTTTTTAAAAATAAATAAAGCTCATTTACAGAATATCTTCCTGTTCCCTAACTAAAATAGGCTGTGTTCTCATATGCTAGGCCCAGGGTAATGCCTCTGCCCTGGAATCAGTTTGAAGTCTTGAGACACCTCATTGAAACTGAGATATCTCATAGATGGAAAAATTAGGATATCGGTTGCATGTTGCGGTCTTACCCTCTCAGTCCCAGCATCACTTATGTAAAAGAAAATAGTTAACCAGCCTCGCAGTATTCTCAACTCATAGTGCCTAAGTAGAGCATTAAAAAAAAAAAAAAAAAAAAAAAAAAAAAAAATTCCCTGAAAAGAGTGTGCAGTCTCGAAGCATGTCCTGGGAAACTCGTATTTGCAAGAAAACACCTCTTCCGCTATTGCTGCCTTGCTCTCCCTGGAAACAAAAGACACCTTAGGAACACATAGGGCTGCTTTGTCTTAAAATCCCTTTGCACAAATTAAGCTTTTGAAATGAATTCTCTTCCTAGTATCAGATGGAGAGCACAGCAATACATGCACCGTGGGCCATTAAAAAGAAAGAACCTCGTTTATAGAGTTCTCTGCCACCTATGTAGAAAGAGAGGCAATCATTATCCAATTCCGGTGGACATCTTTATGCATTTTCAATGCTTTTTCGGCCCTTTATCAATGGGAAGATCTTTCTGTTCTTTTAACCGTGTGTGTATTTTGTCAACGTACAAATCAATTCTTCCCCATTACGTGTTCCAGATTCTATTGCCCATGAAATTTGACTAGGTGTTAAATGTTTGTTAAAATAAGGCTAGCGAATAGCCTTAAACAAGCATTAAACTGCCTGGAAACTTCGATCAACTCTAGAGCAGACCAAAAACGTGTTATTAATTTCATGTTGTAGATGATGAAGGTGAAGCTCCCTGAGGTCAAGGATTAGGGAATCAAAGAGCTTTTAGTGAGCTGTTTTTTTTTTTTTTTTTTTTTTATGCCCCAGCAGTTCAGCCTGGTTTTCTCAAGCACGGCAGCCATTTCTTGAATGCTCACCAAATATATTGCATCATAATTGGTTGTCTACGTATATTGCTTTGTTTAATCTTCAACCTAGTACCACGATTTGCAGTCTGGAGTTCTTGCTGAAAAGTCTGGTCATGGTTTGCTTGTCCTAATTCCCTACAAACAAACCAGTTTTTCTTTAGGGACTTTATCACCCACCCTTCCAGAACATGTGGAGACACAGCAAGCAAAGCTTACGAAGCATATGTTAGTCCCCGATCTCAGGATAGAGAGAGAAGAGAGACTTGGGGGGCATTGGTCTCTGCTTTTAAGTTTGAGAGTGAAACTCCCAGTCATTCCTCCCAGGATCAGGCTTGGGAAAGCCGAGGGAGACTCTTTCCTCCCAGAAGGCTTCGGGAACCATCTGGACAGAACAACCGATGCCCTCTTTGCAACAAGTGGGCCTTTTCAACTTCCAAACCTCGTCAGGCTTGAGTGACGACCCTCAGTTCCTCAGCCAACCCAAGATGATTCCGTCCTGATCTTTCCTGGTTGGTCCAAGGTCTACTAGACCAATGGGTAAAGGTGCCTTCAGGATGGGCTCCTCACACGCAAGCACACACTTGATATTTAAGGTTCGAGGGACAGGTATTTGAGCCCCTCGGGTCAAGCCGGAGAGATATTTAATGCATTCAGTGGAAGTCCTTAGAAACAGCATGTTGTGCATGGGAGGGATCCTCTGCGTAGAAGTACATGAACTAGCGTCCGTGCTCTCTGGGGCCAAAGTATATTTTAGGCCAACTTTCATCTTGGCCCTGGCTTATCACACAGTCCAGGTAAAGCCACATCTGCCAGGGTGGCTAAATAGTCATTGTTCAGTCCATCACTCCCTTCAGCTCTCCATTGTGCCTTTTAGTTCTTTCACCCAAGTCAGATATTCAGCCATTGCTCCCCTTTGTGGGGTGGTGTTATCAGCCAGGCCATAGCCTAGACATTTCAGGTATACAGGCTCACCTACGTCTTGAGGATGAAGTTCTAGAAGCCATGCTCAGCAGGAGAGGCCCAGTGGAAAGTCCAGGGGAAGGACTCCATGGTAAGCTGAGCAGGGCAATATCTGCTGGTTTCTCCAGGTCCAGATCTGGGCTCCACTCTTCCCCGCCTGGGTCCCCACACAGATGGCAGCCATGCACTCCCTGGCCATCTGACCGACCTCAGCCAATGGGGGTATAGGCGGGAGGAGAGGGGTGGGTGAGTCTGTGGAGAGGGTGTGGAGAGGACTGGCTGGTAGGAGCCCTGGCTCTCCCCCCGTTGGCTCACTTTGGTCAGCTGCCAGAGCCATGGCTCCTACCAGACAGTCCTCTCCACACAGCTGTCTTCTCTGCTCTCTCTGGAAGCCCTTCCTCCCACACCCTGCATGGCTCCCCACCAGGCTTGGACCCTCATTGCTTGCCCTTCATTTTTGGTGCATTCCTTCATAAATAACCTTCATTTCCCCCACTTTTGGTGACCAGCTTCGTTTTTC